TTTTCTCAAAATGTAGGTCCCACTAACGATTTTTTTTTTAGGAGTCTCTTTTATCTCTAGATACGGTCTTGCTCAAGGGATTTTTTTTACCGAACTTTCTCATTTTCTCATAGAGTTTTTGTCATTTTTGGTCCCCCAACTATTATGTCAATGACATTTTTGATACTCAATTTCTAATTTTTCCATTTTTAGTCCTCGACTATTGTGGTAGAGACACATTTAGTCCCCGACTTCAAGATTTCCCACATTTGGTCCCTAAGTATGGTCAAATTGACACTTTTAGTCCTCCCATTATTTGACACAATAAATGAAGGACTAAAAATGTCACTATTATAATAGTTAAATGACCAAAAGTGTCACTTATGAAAGTTGAAAAACTAAAGATGGAAATTTTCAAAGACGGGTACCAAAAGTGTCTCTAGCGCAATAGTCAAGGACTAATAATAGGAAAAATCAAAGTCGAGTATCAAAAGTGTCAATGACATAATAGTCGGAGGACTAAAAGTGGGAAAAAACTCTTTTCTCATAGTATCGCTTCTGTAAAATACTCCGTATTAATCAATTTATAGTTGAACATCTTACGGAGTTCAAAATTAAATCCTCCATAGACGTTAGTATAAGCACGTTTCAATCATTTGCAATAAAGTCAAAGACTCACTATCTTTTGGTTTAGGAATATGATGAATAAAGTAAATAGACGCACTACACTGATTGCGCTTCTTTGCTATGAAAAAGCAGTCAGTCTATGCAATTTTCAACTCGATTTTTCTTATGGGTCTCCTGAAAACAGTCTCTCTGTGCTTCAGTACAGAAGTAAGACTGGGTACATCTCCCTTGCGCATTGAGGTAATGACGACGACCTTAGTATAAGCAAATAAAATCTATATAAATAGTAAAAAACTTAATCAAAAGTTTTACAAACGAAATATTGATATTACAGCTTAATTTTTTTTTAAAAAAAAACATTTAAGATTTGCTAAAAAGATACGGTTTAACCAAATTATAATATAACTAAGACATGTAAAGTGGGACTTAATTTAGATGTATTTTTTCAATAACAAAGACGTTATATTGGTATGATCTACAAAGAAAATAGTGTATACATACAAAAGATGGAAAGTAAAAAGGATGGTAGAAAGAATAGGTGAATAGATGCCATGCACAGATATCCAGCAGGGCATGAAAAGGAAGGTTGAGAGGGAAATCTCAGAGAGTTAGATGATGCTTGTTTCCATTTAGAGAAGCAATAAAGAAAAAGATATACAGTTATACAGTGTGAAAAGGTAAAATTTGCTTGGGTACAAATGCCACAAGTTGTGAAGGATTCCTTCTCACTATTATAAATGACAAAAATGCTATTGTTACACACTTTTCATACACACTTATACACACTGGTGTCTGTGAAGGGTTATTTTTTGACTGTATACAGACATAACGTATACAGACAAAACGTTATGTCTGTATGCAGACAAAAAATAATTCTTCACAGACACCAGTGTGTATAAGTGTGTATAAAAAGTGTGTACCTCAAGTGTGGTTGTATGAAGAAGCCTCTTCAATTCCAATTTCATTAGGGTGAGCTCGAAAAGTCCATTTGTCTTATTTGATAGTAAAAATGCTACTTGTACAGATCGGTTTTCACACTCGTTTACACGTCAAGTATTTTGTCTGTACGAGTAACATTTTTGTTTGAAATTGTATAAACTTCTTTCCCACTTTTTTTCACAAGTTTAACTTCGTTTATTAGGTTACAATTATTAAACATAAATAGTCTCATTTTTAAAAGCGTATCTAACATAAATATATCTTACATTATAAGGTAGTAGCTTAGAGACTGAGATAATGAAACTTTTGACACATCGGAGAAAAAAGTTTTGGAAAAAAAAGCATGGGCTCAAAGACTCAAGTGCTCAACTAGGGTCAATTTTAAGTATTCAATCACTTAAATTTTTAATGTTTCTAAAAAATATGCCTCAACCCTGGATATCTAATGACCCCACAATTCCATATATCCCTTAAAATCAGTGAAATAATCGAGACTTGAAATTTTACTCCCAAAAGTATTTAGTAGCGTTTGTGTATGCAGTTCAGGCTATGATATGATCAAATCGAAAGATGCTTAATTAATATATTTGTGACGCTGACAAATATATTTGAGTTTATATATATGTAATGTCAATTTTGATCATTTATTAACAATAAATAACCGCAACTTTAGAGTTGCGTGAGAATTATACGATGTACTTGATAATTTATCACGTGGTTAATAAAACATGGGCTATCATAATCTTGCAATAAAAAATAAACACTTCACAACTCACAAGTTGACATAAATAAGTTAGCAAAGTACATCAATGAAGTTGTTTCACGTTCTTTTTGAGTCCAACACTTTTCTCTTATTCCTCATTTCATCCTTCACTTCACTAATTGGCCTTTCAGCGTCTTTTTCCTAAATTTGGACTTCAAAGAAAGGTGTAATAAATAGTACTTAAGATACTCCGTAACACCTGTAGAAATTACAATAGTAATAACTAATAAGAATCAGTGATGTTGATGGTGTTGTTGTTGCTGCTGGATTGGTTCAAAATTATGCAATCTGCTATGCATCAGTTAGGCATGGACCCGGTTCGGGCCGCCCGGCCCGGGACCGGCCCGGCCCGCCACTGTGCGGGCCCGGAACCGGCCCGGTTCTCGGGTCTGGGTCCGGGTCGGGCCTAGGCCCGGTGGGGGGCGGGTCCGGGCTCAGGCCTTGTATTTGGCGAACCGGCCCGGGCCGAATTGATTTTTTTTTTTATTTTTTTTTTCATTTTTTGGGGTTAGCCGGGTTGGGCTTGATGGTTAGGAGGGGTTTGGGGGTTTGGGGGGGTGAGTGGGGGGGTTAGGAAAGCAAAAAAAAAAAAATTATGACCGAACCAGAGGCCCGGCCCGGCCCGGCCCGGACCCGGACCGGACCCGGACCCGGACCCGGACCGGACCCGGTGGCTACCCGGGCCGGTCCCGGGCCTTCCTTCCCAAAAAAAAGCCCGGCCAGGCCCGGCCCGGAACCGGCCCGGCCCGGGTCCATGACTAGCATCAGTCCACTGTTTTTCTAGGGAAAAATTCGTTTGTATAATACTACTTCTGTCCCATTTCATATGTCCTACTTTGACTTGCCACAATTATTAATAAAGTGGTTAAAAAAGTAACAGTTGAGATTGAGATTTGAGTACAATAAACTGTAATGGTGACACTTATTTTGGGATAACCCAAAAAAAAAAGTAAGACAAATAAAATGAGATCAAGAGAGTACTATAATGTACATTTTTTGCGCCTCCTATTCATCTTAAAAGTTGTCTTCATGGACAAACAAATGTGCTTAATGTATACACCAAATAGCTCTCTTTTTTTAGACCAAAATATTCTACAACTCTTGCCAATTCTCTTGCACTTGCCAATTAGTTTGAAGTTTTGGAGTGGTTGGGTTGACGGTTTGGGAGATTTTTGGATCACACATAGGTGAGTTGAAGATGGAACACTAATTATAATGGAATGAAAACAATGCAATCACAACTGTTGAAGATGGAAGTATGGAACACAAATTATCAGAGATCATAAACGCTGATCTACCAGTTCACATTAATTGGACTGGTTGGTTTGATGGTTATTTGAGCATTCATATTATCATATTATCAAGTAGGGGTGGCTGGGCCGGGGCCGGGTCGGGACTTGGCAGGCTTCGGGTCCAAAATTATCAGGCCCGGTACTAGGCATGGAGCCGGGCCGAGTCAGGCCCGGTCGGGCCTTTTGTGGTTGGGGGAAGGCCCGGGTTACCACCAGATCCGGGTCGGGCCAGGCCAGGCCAATTTCTAATTTTTTTTCCTTTTTCTAATTAACCCTCGACCCCCCCCCCCCCCCCCTCACCCCCCCAAATGGCCCAAAATACCCGGCCCAACCCAAGAAATTAAAAAAATGAAAAAGCAAAGAAAAATGAATAAAGCCCGAACCGGGCCCGGCCCGGCCGGTTCTATATTTAGCTGACCCGAGCCCGCATCGTAAAACCCCCGGGCCGGGCCTACCTAGTGATGGACTCGGGCCGGGCCAACCGGCCCGGAACAGGACCGGCCCGCTACTGTGCGGGCCCGGACCGGCCCGGTCAACCGGTTCGGTTCCGGTTCGGGCCTCCAGGCCCGGTGGTATACCGGTCCGGGCCCGGGCCTCCAGTTTAGTGAACCGGCCCGGCCGGGCCGGGCCCGGTTCGGGCCGGAATTTAATTTTTTTTTTTTTTTTTTGAAATTTTTTTAAGTTTTGGGTTGGATTAGGTATTTTGGGCCATTTGAGGTGGTTTGGGGTGGTTTGGGGTGGAGGGGGAGGGGTAGGGGGTTAAATAAGAGAAGAAGAAGAAGAAAAAAAAAACATTCCGGGTGGCCCGGCCCGGTCCGGCCCGGTTCTGGCCCGGAACCGGAACCGGAACCGCCCACCACCGGTTCGGGCCCGGGCCTCCTTTTTCTGAACCGAGGCCCGGCCGGGCCCAGGCCCGAACCGGGCCCGAACCGGGCCCGAACCGGAACTGGTCCACCCCTAGGCCTACCCGGACCGGTGCCTGGTCGGGCCACCGGTTTAGGCCATTTCCAAATAGTGTCGGGCTGTGTCCGGTTCCGGGTCGGGCTACCCGACCCGAGTCCAAGCTTACCCGGTACCGGCCCGGGTTTGTACGGTTGTACCGGTACTGGGTCGGGCCGGGCTACCTGGACGGGCTTCAGGATGGGACTGGTCAGGCCAAACAATTCCAAGCCCAATTTTTTTTGGAATTATTAACTTTGAGGCCCAGACCGGTCCACTAAAATCAAAGCCCGGTACCGCCAGCTTCTTCATCCAGGTCAGGGGGGCCGGGCTTGATCCCAGTCCTGGACTCCTGGTCAACCGGGCCAGGTCGGGCTTGCACAATAGCGGTCCAGGCTGGCCCGTCCCAATATACCCCTTTTAGCAAGCCCACAATCTAATTATTAAAACAAAATGTTACTCTGAGATTTGTGTGGAAATAGTTGGGGTTCAATAAAAAAATGACAATTTGGAGAATCAGATCACACTATCAGAGTTCAGAGCCTCAGAGGTATAATAAGATTGAGAAGCTTAATAAACATTGTTACATCTAATACAACAAGAATTGTCTAGGACTCAATGGCAATAGGATAAGGATGCACATATCCTCTCATCAATTAATTCGATATTATTTGAAGCAGAACTTCACCTTAACCTTTGTCTGCATGAATTTGAAATGGCTAAATCTAAAGCCATTAGCAGATACTCAAACAAAAATAAGACTTTGACAACAATTGCCCGAAATTATTCAAAATTCTAACTCAAATTCGATGCAAAAGGGGGAGTGAGTTTCTTAATTCTCACTGGCAAACTTGATTCCCTTTTCAATAGAGGACTTAAGCTCAGGCTTCAGTTTCTCCAGTCCTTCCTTCTCGAAGTCGGAGAGTGAACCTAACCCTAAGACTTCTTCCACTCCATTTTTCCCAAGTCTCACCTGGAAATGATTCATTTATCTTATTAGAATCAAACTCATGATCAAAGACAGGAGAGTTCAATTGATCAACACAGCCAAGAACAGACTTTAAATTGTAATCGCTCCATCTGCCCCAGGGAAAAACTGTGCTGTTTGAAACACTTCTTTCGAATTAAATGATTTTAATATTACAAATATTGACATACAATTACTCCCTTTAAAAAAGACTTACAGACAATTACAAATCATTTTTTAGTTAAATATACAAATAATTTTTTACCAAATCTTTTTCACAATTACCAATGTTAAAACCTGTACATCAGTAAAACATACTTGCTCTTTGAATATAGTAGTTACTAGAGTTCAAAATATACCTTGGATGCAAAGAAAGGAAGCTCAGTAATGGTTGACTGCACAAAGGAACATTCAACAACATCAGGAACTCCATTCAATCCCTTCAAGCAAGCATCTGCAAATATGGCCCCGGCATATCTGCAACAATCACAACGATGAAACCATCAATGCTAGTAAAAAACTAGAAGTAACAGATCAATTATGGCATTAAGCATTGGGAATTTTGTGAACGTTTCTGGCCAAAAGTTTTACTCGTGCCGAATTTGTAATGAAATATTCAGCATTGACAACCAAATAATTTTTCTCAGATATGTTGTATCATGCATGTTTTAGGTATAGATCCTGGGGGTGGGGTTACGGGTAATGAACCAATATGGCTATGTTTAGAATTTTGAAATTTCTTAAAATAAAATTACATGTGATAAATTAGAAAACAAGACAAGTCTAGCATAAAACAGCCCCAGATTGTTAGCTGAAAACTCAAGGAGAAAACCAAATTGAACATAGTCTAAAAGAAATTCAATTGTTGGGAAACCACTATTAAAGTTAAGTGTCACTGGAGCCAAGTTGTGCTAAATGTGAGGGTATGTGAAACAGGGTGAAAGAAACAAGGGAGTAGGATTATAAAAGTGAAAAAAATGGGGAAATAGACAGGGCAGCCCGGTGCACATTGGCATCCTTGCAAGGCAAGGTTCCGGGGAAGGGTTCCATCACTATGGTGTATGAGCAGCAAGCTTTCCCTTATTATTCTGACCAGAGGCTGCTTTCATGACTTGAACCCATGATCTCTTGGTCAAATAGTAACAACACCTTAAGCGAGAAATAGACACAAGAGAAAAAATTATTCAAAAAACATCGTTTTGACTACAGCATATAATCCATGTACAGCTATAGCCATTTTTCCAAATACATAAAACACAAAATAATTGGATTTAACCCAAGCATATCCCCAAGTCCCTGACCAAAAATTACAATGGGCAGGTACTTTTGTCAAAATGGAGTGTGCATTCTTCATAGCTTCTAATTATGCATCGACATGCTTTTTTTATCAATATCATTCACAGTTGCTTAAAATGAAAGACTGCGTGATATGAGATAGACTAAGCAAGGGAGGAAGGGGAAGAGAGGGAGAGAGAGAGAGAGAGGTACACACACACCATGCCAGACCTTTTTCCTTAAATAAAGTTAAAAAGACTAGTTATTTGGCTCAAGATAGTGCAGTGACTCATTTATTTATTCCCTGACATTTTATATCAAGCAAATGAAAGAGTTTTCTAAGCATGGAGAGAATCAGTTTAAACTTACGCCATCGAGAGTGTGGCTGAACCCTTCCCGGCCTTAGCTTCCACAACTTCTGTACCACCTTCTTGGGTTCTTTTTGTAAGTGCAACAATTACATCATCGGATAAGTTGGGTTTTGGTGTAGCCTAAAGTGTTACATGTAAATAAGTTAACATACTAAAAGAAAGTGTGAACATTATTTAAGTAAAAATTGAGAGCTACATAGTACTAGAGAAAAAAAGATTATTTACTTGAGAAAACAACGGGAGGATTGTTATGCCTGCATGACCACCAATTACTGGTACATTGACCTCTGAAAACAGGAGCAAAATAGTAAGATAACAAAAGGAATTGCTGATGTACTGCAATTATTGTTTAGACTTTAGAAGCACAAGTAAACTTGATGCGCGTATGACTTGTTTTCAAAAAATACATGTGCACTTTTACAAAGAAAAACACATTTGTTTACTTTAAAAACTAAAACTTGGCAGGAAGATTGAAAATTGCTTTAAACAATTAAAAAAGACTTCTGATGGTTATGTAAGATAGCATCAAATTGTTGTTTTTCCAAAGAAGTACTTTGAGTGCTTAAATGAGAAAGAACTTGTGATAAAAGTTGTGCACCATAAGTTACCCCCAAAAAATGATACTGAAATATCCATGCATTAAGAGGCATACCCGCAACATTAGCATTAGATTTTCCAGCATAGAAAGTTTTGGCCCGGACCACATCAAGGGTTGTGACACCAAAGAGTTTCTTCTCATTGTAAGTTCCGGCCTTTTTGAAGATCTCAGCAGCAATTGGGACAGTTGAGTTCACAGGGTTGCTAATCATATTGACAAGGGCCTTTATATTGGGTCAGAAAAGTGATGTCAGGTCAACAAAAATCAATCAATACCTATAAACCTGACTAATATGCAGAAAACGCTACAGTGATACTAACATTCGGGCAATACTTGGCAATGGCAGAACAGAGAGATTTCACAATGCCAGCATTGATGTTGAAGAGATCATCACGAGTCATACCAGGCTTCCGTGGGACACCAGCTGGAATTATGACAACATCAGCTCCTTCCAAAGCTTTGCCCAGGTTTTCCTCTCCCATAAAGCCAACCACCTATCCGCAAAGAGAAAAAAGCTTCCACACTGTCAGTCAGTGAATACAGAAGTGTCCAGCAAAACAGATATGAATTGGATCACGATTCATTGAACAAGGTCAAACAAGCGATATTTGGGATATGAGGGTTGTATCGATTTAAAAGGAAAATCAAAGATCGCCATACCTCAGATCTGGTGTTGATGTGGCTAACATCAGCAGCCACACCCGGTGTTCCAGCAATATCATAAAGAGAAAGGTGAGATACGAGGGGATTGAGCTTCATGAGTAGAGACAGCGGCTGACCGATCCCGCCGGCGGCTCCCAAGATGGCAACTTTTCGCTCGGGGGCTGACTCGGAGGAGAACCCGCGGCGCGAGACGCGAGAAGCGTCGGAAATGGAGCTTCTAAGAAGGGATGTCAGCATTGTTCCTCTCATTTCAATCTCAGGTAACCTTGGAGCAAACTGAAGAAGAGAGGATTTGAGACGATTCTTGACAAGAACTTTGGGTCGAGGGAGGGGGGTTTAGCAAGGGACAGTCTTAATTTTATTGTGGTGGCGAGTGCACAAAACCGTGAATAACGAGGACTGCGTGTCGATTTTTGCAACACCCCTCGGGCCTAATCCCATGATCTCCCCATCTACTTATCTACAAATTTTAGAAAAATAGCTAAACAAAATGTGTATATATATAATGTATGTTCTTCACAGAAATTTTGTTTGTCAGAAATTTTGTATACAATTTATGAACTGTCTGTGACAGACAAAATTTCTGCAACATTTATAGATAAATTGAATAGTAAAATTGACTTGTTAGAGTCAAACAAATTCATTTTTTCACTTAGTTAGGATATCAATTCTTAATTAAAATTTAGTTTGGATTTTGCAACTTTACAGATATTTTAATGTAGTTTTTGAATATATAAATTTTAATTATTAAAATTGAAGTAATTAACAATACAGAGAATTTAACTTTATTATTGATTGAACAGATAATATTGACTTTGAAAATATTACGTAGTACTTTGACAAATTATCTCCTCTATGAATGTAGTTTTGGAATACGGTGTAATAGATATTTCTTGTCAAACATTTCTTACTTTTAACCGATTGTGAAAGCACAAGAGTGATCCTGAGATGGAATCTAAAGTATGCAATTGGGCTAAATTTTTGCCCCCATGAGTACCATACATAATTGCATGAACCTTAATAAGTGTACAAGTACACCTTTCGTACACTCGTTTACGCATACAGAATTGTTTGTACACAGACAACTCTGCAGAGTCCTAAAATGTTGTCTGTAAATAGACAACTTTGTGTTAGTGAAAAAAACGAATGTACAAAAAGTATACACCAAACATTTTTCTACTTCCATTGGGGAGCTTGTTTTGCAATTATATATAAAGCATAAAACATCAAACCTAATTTCCTATTCAAATATGTTACATCTAATAAAAACAGGTTTTAAATTTTCAATAAAATTATCATGGTACTTCGAAGAATTGTTTTCTTTTTGAGAGAAACGATCTCTTCTTCACAAAGTATCACAAACAAGATGTATATACTAAATAAATACGATTTGAGCATATGTTATATCATCATTGAATCGAGACTAAAGAGTCAAATAGGCTCTTATATATATCGATTGTGTAAACTTAATACAGTCTCTGAACTAAAAAAGGTGCAATTTGTATCCCAAACCGGCAAAAAAAGTTCATTTTTTTTACAGGTAAACGACTGGTAAAAAGAGTCTAATTCACATCCCTATCTACGACATTTAAACGGGAAGTTCATGAAAAAACTGAGTAATCATAAATTAGCTAGGGGTGAAAATGTGCGTTTGCATCAGCTACCTCTTATATCATAAATAACTTCCGAAAAATATATTGGTGCATAATAGAAAAGTTATACCAACCAGTAGTTGCACACCAAACTTCACATATATGCTTGCATTCTAAGATAACACTTGTTCTTCTAAAACAATAAAGGAGCAGCATAAAAAGCACTAGAAGATGACAAAGGTGTTCCATCATTATCATCTTCATTCAGCAGCCTCAATGATCAAGACGATACAAATTATCGTCCCTGTTGCAATGGCTTCTCTCCTCATACTTGGAGCGGTACATATCTGTCTGGATAACCTTAGAAACAGCCAGTTTCGCCCCCTTGGACAGTCTTCGCGAAATGGATTTCTTGGAGCGCCTATAAATGTCTCTGCAGATGAGACTATTGAACATGGATGCAATGTGTTTGAAGGGAAATGGGTATGGGACAATGTGAGCCATCCTCTTTATGCGGAAGAGAGCTGCCCCTATTTGGTGAAACAGGTCACTTGCCAAAGAAATGGCCGGCCTGATTCCTTCTATCAAAACTGGAGATGGCAACCAAAAGGTTGCACACTACCAAGGTATTTCAAGCAGCACACACGCACACAATGAATGTGAGAAAGAGAGAGAGATTATGGTAAACATACAAATCCTAGCTAGTAAATCATTGATAAACCCAGCACACAAAACTGAATCTTTCATCTGTTGACACTCAAGGTCGACAAGTACCTATTTAAATAGTGTGCTTAGAATAGATAAGTACAAATTTCTTATGCACATTGGATCAACAAGACAGGATCAGTAACCTGTGTACACAATTTTCTTGATAACCACCGTCTTATGCAGAAATTTTTGTTATGGGGGCCAAACCCGCACTCTAATGCCGGTTCCGGATTGAGTATGATATACAAGCTTTCAGAAGATATAAATCTTTATAACCGTAAAACTTATTCCCCAAGATTGTTTGAAGTAACTGACTAAAATCTCTTGTTTTGTGGTTTTGCATGAATTTTACTTGAAGTGAAATTTAACTTTTAAAACCGGTTTCTTGTTTTGTGAAGACAAATGTTCTTGAAATAGGACTTTTTTAGCATGGAAGTAGTAGACTCAACCTTAATGTTAAGTTTAAACAAGATCTTTCCAAGAAGCTACTTTGAGGTATATATCAGGCCTCAGGAGCACATAGCACTTGATAGTGAAAAATAAATGAAAATTGAATTGGTAATATGATTATACCTTGCTTCGGGTATCTGACCTCATTGTGTTAGGATTAAGGATGTGTATGTTGTTGATGACTTGTGTTACGAGGTGCCACAATTCCTTTTCAGGTACAATGCTTTGAAGATGTTGGAGATGCTTAGGGACAAAAGGCTGATGTTTGTAGGGGACTCATTACAGAGAGGAATGTTTGAGTCAATGGTCTGTCTAGTTGAGTCTGCAATCCCAGAAGGAAGGAAATCTCTTGAAAAAGTGCCCCCGAGAAAGATTTTCAAGATTGAGGTAAGATAAAACCTTTATGATACAATCAATGTCGGTTAACAACAATAAATAAATGACCCGAGCTTTGTATCATTGACATGTACCAACTGTTTGATGCTATCAAACACAAAATAAAACAAAACAAAAGCAATTCAATGACTTTTGATCCTATTATTGAAACCAAGCTCTATAATCTTAGGTAAGAGGTTTAGGGAGTATTTGCATGTAGAATGTTTTGGTTGCTCGTGATTGACAGTGTTTGTGATTACCTTAGTCAAGAGAATAAAAAACTGTACTTTATGACATCAGCATTTGTGTGGAGATAGTGAGCCCCTACCACAGTCAAAAGAGAGTCATCTAGCAGTAACTAAGAAATTTGTACAACACGAATTTTACAGGATTTCAATGCAACAATAGAGTACTACTGGGCTCCCTTCCTAGTAGAGTCCATCTCAGATCAGGCAACAAATCACACTGTATCGAAAAGAATGGTGAAGCTAGACTCCATTGAAGCACATAGCAAGCAATGGGAAGGAGTGGATATACTAGCATTTGAAAGCTATGTTTGGTGGATGAGCACACCCTTGATTAATGCAACGTATGTACCCTAAAAACAAACTTAGCAGTTACATATCAAATACCGAAATTATTTCTGAAAGAATGTTCACATGTTTCTCACCAGATATGGGTCAACAGACAATGTCAAGGAATTTGATGTGACTATTGCATATAGACTGGCATTACAGACATGGGCAAGTTGGATAGAATCTAGCATAAACCCAGAGAGGCAGAAGGTTTTCTTTGTCACCATGTCTCCTACACATTTGTGGTAAGTTTTTTAGAATAATTTTAAAATCAAAACAACAAAATTGTAATATTAACATTTAACTACCGCCTTGCAAAAAAGTGACAAGGATATATGCAGTAGATACAGAGTTAGGAAAGAATTCAGGTAATGGTAAAATTACCCCCAATTGAAATATTGAATAACTGAAGGGTAGATTACTAGAGGACAAATTTGAGATAATTTTAATATTCACGAAACCCTACCCTGATATTCTTCCTTTGTTATGAAGATTAGGGAGGATATGGGAAAAGATAAGCTACTGCAAGTGTACCTATTTTCTCATTTTCATCTACTAGATTCCAGTCTTTCCCTCTTGTATGTTCAATTCATGTTTATATATATCTTTTCCTTATAAATCATATTTACTTCTAAAATATGCCTCTTATCATATTTAGTCAATACATATTTATATATTCCATCCACACGTCATCCTCAGCTTGTACTTGCCATTTAAATCTTCATCTAGTCATGCCAAACACAATCTAAATGCCACTACACTTAAGACTCACACAATACCAGGTCACGTCAAACAAATGTTAAAAGTAGAGAGAACGGTTTTGAACTAAAACATAGTACTTGATGGAAACAGCAAAATATTTCAGGAAATGGGAATGGAAGGCTGGAAGTGATGATGGGAACTGCTTCAATGAAACACACCCAATTCAAGGGCCATATTGGGGAACAGGTTCTAATCTTAATATAATGGAAGCAGTGAGAGAGCTTACAGAAAAGCTACATGTTAACGTAAGAATGCTAAATATCACCCAATTGTCTGAGTACCGCAAAGATGCACATACATCAGTCTTTGGAGAACGAAAAGGAAAGCTCTTGACAAAAACACAAAAATCGGATCCCAAAAATTATGCAGACTGCATCCACTGGTGCTTACCAGGATTACCAGACACATGGAACGAGATTTTCTATGCACTATTGCTACAAGATTATCACAAGCAATTATTGTAGGAATGTAGGGGGCAACATGATTTCTTGATAATTTACGACTAAGGGCCCTTGTACTTTACCCTTAAAAAGAAGCACTATAGATGCACAGAGTAACACTGAATCACAATAGTATCACCAATCACAGTAACACGGAATCACAATAGTATCACCAATCAGTTTTAGCTTCAATTATCTTAAAATATTCTACTAGTATCGAAAAGATTACTGTGGATGAAGTTTTTTAACAATGAAAAACTGAACATTAAACAAGTCGATATAGATGAAGCATAACTATAGCAGTTTCAGCCTCCACCATATGCAGACAGCTGGAGGCATTACTTATATTCAAAGCATTGCACGAAACCCTGAGCAGTATCCCGCCACCAATCTCATAAAAATGGTCCTTACCACTGAAGTTTCTTTGAAGTAAAAGTGCACAGGAGAAACATTGCTGTGCTATAATTTAAAGCACAAATTAAAGCGTAGCTTTTGTACAAAAAACAATGGTAAGTACAAACATCAAATTTTATTCAAATAAAAAGTTAATGGAGTTTAATACAATTTATCCATTTACTTTTAATCTCAGAGATCAGAATATAAGATGCCATTTAAAAAGTTCAGTAGTCCACCACTCACTTTTACTTACCAAAGCTTTGATGCTCATCAACTAAGGTCTAAGGGTATCCATTCAGTCTTATGAACTATTATATTATGCGTTAAACTTCCTGTGCATCTCAAGCAACCATACATTTCAAAATAACTCAAATCCAATTAAACATTATCCCGGAGCTTTGTCGCCTATCCCCTCTGGTAATCATCCTAGCTTCCAACTGTGACATGTTGTGAGTTTTTTTATCAAATAGTGTTTCATTTGGGGGGTAGCATTTAACAAAATTTAGAGAAAGTACAAGAGTTAAAAAATATTTTTTTCATTCTCAAAATGGAAGAGTTGTTGAGTAAACACACTTTTTTATTCTTTGTTTTCAAAAATAGGGGTAAAAAATTTACTCGGTGAGAAAATTATTGCATGTCCTGCATGAAGTACAATGTTTCATAACACTGCGAAGAAATACCGGATTTTGCATCAAGAAATTTGATTAGTCTTGTATTTTGTTGGATGGTTAAAGTGCTTCTAATTATGCCTAATCATTTTTGGAAATGTTCATGCAATCAAATTATCAAAGCTTTCAAAATTTCCAGTTTCAAGTAAACTCATTCTTTCATGATCTCATTCTGTATTAGGATTCTCAAGTCTCAACAGCCCCATCTATTTATAATGTATTCAAGTATCTGAGAGCAAAATGGGCAGAGCAAAACATACTAGTATCATTATTATACACTCATATAATTGAATATCATATATAAATATAATCACATCAATTAGGAAATTTCTCAGAAATACCAGATAGAAAAATAAAAATGAGATGTTCAACCAAATAGCAAAATGTTTTCACATCAAATTAGGGTTCACTTTCAGGCTTCAGCTTTGTTTGATAGCTATAAATCCTATAGCCTAGGGTTCTTAACCATTCACCAGACCTCAACTATTCTCAAAAGGCTTACACTTCATTAGGATATGGGCCTGCTCATGTGAAAACTGAGGACGCAGCTAAAAGTCATTTAATGTTGACGTTGAACCCAACCATGAATTTCATAATTCAACCACAGATTTTATGCTTTACATTTCAAGACATTAGGTGTTCAATCATAACTTATCATCTACAATTGTTTACACTATGGGAGAGCATAAAGTAATAGCTCTCATTAAGTCATTCAATACAAAGTTAAAAATATAGAATGCAAACGAGGAGATTCACGGGAGTGTAGACTCTTTAAAGATAGAGAGTAAGGGAGAACTGATTGCGTTGAAAGGGAACATTAATTTTTGAGAAGTAAGAACATCTGTGGAGAGAGCAGGAGTTCTGGAGCGTGGGAGACTTAAATAGAAGTTTGGTAGGTCAGCAATGACTAGGATTGAAGGTGTAAAAAAGGAGATCAGCACGTTGAGGCTTAGTGAGCATATGATGCATGACATAAAAGATCGAAAAAATATGACTTTAGTTGATGATCTTCAGTGACCTTTTATTGGTTCACATAGCCGACCTGTGATTAAGGCTTGGTTGTTGTTGCATTGAGGGACATTGTTGATAAAAATATTGAAATAGTGATGAATATACTGAAAATACCGATCAACATCAAGAATTACTTTGTCGATGTTGGGACCTCCAAAAACAGAAACATCACAGAAACATAGATCAATATCAGAGATATCTTACCCTATCATTAAATCATAGAATACAAACATTGAGCTCATTTGCAAAAATGACGATATCCAGCAACAACCAAAAGAAAAAAGAAGCATCAAGTGCAGCAGCCATTCATATTATGATAAAGTACTTAGAAGACAAAACTCATAAAGTGCAGTTACAAAAGTGAAGCTTTGGAAGGAGGATGGGCTCCTTACAAGACAGAGCACTACTCTATATGAAAGTTTAACAATTACAAAGGATCACATCATAAGCGCATATGAAGTCAAGATGATGCCAAAGTACACTGCAAATGAAAAGCATCAAGCCAGATATCAAATTGCCAGCATTCACCGCAGAACCAATAAAATCAATTGCGCCGACAAGTTGTCAAACAGCTTTAAGCATCCATTTGCATCTTAATAAGCACTCTACAACCAATAGGAAAGAACATTTAAGAGACATTGCTAAAGTGTATCCATAAAATACACAACTAATAGATAGTACTTCAGACTAGTAGTCAGCGGATCAGATAACGAAAGAAAGCAACCAGACAATTTTGTCATTTTTTGTGAGCTGTAGTACTAGGTTATGTAATAGATGCCAAAAGTCTTGAATCTGGTTGACCCAACAAAGCTTATAAGAAAAGCATTGGAACAGTGGAATCCTGATATAACCAGTTCCACTTTGCAGTATTTACTTCAATGTCTGCAAAGGATCATATATACATATATCCTTTTCATTAATGATATGGATTTTGAGGATCACCAACACATTCTTAACAGAATAATCATTAACACAGAAGTACTAGTTTTCATATAAATACTGGCATTTTGTAACAAACTATAGTTGGATTGCATCATTTGCATGTATGGAACTAATATGCAGAAGATATTTGTTGATTAAGTATGTGCAAACAAAGGTGTTCAATATATAATCAATCATAAATCTTTTTGACAAATGAGTGCAATGAAAATTGAAATGCAGAGCCTCAAACAAACAGCAAAAACCAGTGAAAAATAAGTCTAGCCAGGTTCTCATACAATCAACGATTTGCACAACGACCATGAGCAGAACATTTAAACCAGGAATTAACTACGCTATAAAATGCAGAAACCGCCAGGACAGAGAACAGCTGAACAGCACTCAATGTTAAATTGAATGTGTCACTGAGAATGCATTGACAAACAAGCACACCATAAAGAGAGATGTACCCATTAGGAGAGCAAGTGACACTGTGAACAAGGAACATGAGAATCTCAAAGAATAAGAAAAGGACAGGAGAAAGGTAACAATTCTCGAGCAAGTAAGCACAGTAATCTGGTAGCGGGGTTAATAAATCAAGGGATAAATGAAGTAGGATTACCTCAATAGTAAGAAGGCATCCCTTGGTACATGGCCCCGGGCATGCCTCTAGGCAGTGATGGTGCCCCAGCTGGTTGATTGTGTTGGTTTTGATTTCCAGATGAAGGCAAGTTGTAATGCATACCTTGAGAAGGATAATCTCCTCCGGCTTTGCTTTGAGGTAACCCATATGAGGAAGAGCCTGTGCCAATGGCAGCACCTGGTCCACCACTGCCAGGCACAGGGGGTGCATATCCATTTGTGCTTCCACCTAACCCACCAGTAGGGTTGCTAAACCCAGCATATCCAGTTGAACCACCACCAATGCTGAAATTTGGTCTGCTGTAAGGAACACTAGTAGGACCACCCATAGGGGATACTGCCACTTGACTGCCAGGAGTTGGCAATCCTGGGCCACCCAAGTTAAAACCAGTCCCACCCACACCACCCAATGTTGAATTATGAGCATGCACACCCATAGCTCCAGAGAAACCTCCGGAACCCGGGAAAAAACCCCCTTGGCCGGCACCTGAAACAACCCCTCCTGGAGCTCCATAATGAGCTCCTATACCATTCTGCATTCCTAAACCATTATTATTATCAAAACCCTCCCTTGAAACCTGAGCTCCTCCTGGTCCGGGTGGTCCAAAATTTCCTTTCTTTCCTCCATCAATAGCCATTTTACAGTGTAATTGCTTCCCGTCAATATTCTTGACAGGTTCCATCACTGATGCCCTTGCTGCCTCTGCTGTCTTATACACAAATAGAGCATAACCTTTAGATTTCCCAGTAACTTTATCAAACCCTAGTGGCCCTTCCTCAATCTCTCCATAACCCGAGAAGTGATGCAACAATCTATCGGTGGGCATATCATAGGGCACATTCCCAACATATATCTTCCTCAAGGATATATCCACGGGATTATTCAAACTCCCGGCCCCGGGTCCACCCGACATTCCAGTAGCTGCCAGCTGCGTGACAGACATTCGACCATCGATTTGCTTACTAGGCTCCTTTAGAGCAAGCACGGCTCCATCAATATGTTTGAAGGTGATAAAGCCGTAACCTTTACTCTTCCCAGTAGCTTTATCGAGGATGACCACAGCCTCTTCAAGCTCGCCGTATGTGGAGAAGAGAGCACGAAGCTTATCCGTGGTAGTTTCCCCACCAAGACCGCGAATGAAAAGCTTCCGCTGCGTCGTGTCCCGGTCGGCAATAGAACGTACAGCGCCGAGAACGTCCGTGTGATGCAGGACGGCGTTCTGGACGATGTCGAGAAGCTGATCGCGGGTGAAGGGCTCGATGATTTTGCGTGCATCTTCGAGCGACAGTGAGGTGGGAAAGGATGGGTCGGGTACGGCGCCGTCTTCCTCGAGCTTCCGTTTTTTCATGAACTCCATCGCTGAGGATTTCCAGAGAAACGTATACTAGTGGTCGCAGAATATAACGGAATCTAAAGCCCTGAACTTAGACAGAGATATTTGAAGTCATGCTCTGGAAGAGGAGAGATAAGGAAAGTACATGCTCATCCCAACGGACCAGGGGCCTCTGCCTTGCTTTGGCAGGCAAGGAGGGTGCCTGGCCATTTTCAACCCTTAGATGAAAAAATTAAAGGTAGAAAATGAAGGGGTCCACTTTATTCACTTATCCCAAAGTCATGGATTAAATCTCTGCCCTTGATTGCAGTAAGGCACTCTGCCTTAAGGCAGAGAATCCAATTCCCATCCCAACAGGATTGCATAAGATTAAAAACGAAAAACAAGAGTATAAAAGAACGCTTTTAATAAAATCAAGAAAAAATACTCGTATAATATAATATTGAAACAAGTGTGACAGATTGAATCATGAAAATAGACATAAAATCAGTCACCTATTTCAAAACAATCTGAATTGTTAAACACAGAATGAGAAATTTAAAGCCCAAAATAATTGGGACTAAAATATTGTCTATCAAATTAAACGAACATCAGAAGTCCAAATTTTCAAACCAAACGTACTCAAACTAAAATAAAAACAAGTACTACTCATAACCCTAGTTAGCTTTTTTCCGTTTTAAACGCGTTTTAAACACGTAGTGTTTTTTGACCAAAAAAACACGTTTAAAAAGGGGGGGAAATGTCGGTCCGTTTAAAAAGGAAAAAAACTCCTACTTCTCGTATAAAACATATTTTTCCCGTATTTTACAAAAAAAAAACATAAACATGAATTGACCAATTGAATGAATGCACTAAATGCATAGAAGATCAACAATAGTGTTAAAGTAAAAATGAAAACGTCCACCTATGATCTCGTGTTTTTGTATTGTTATAGTGCAATTCTTAAATACTAAAATTAATTGCATGATGGCTAAAGCTAGCATCCTGAAATACTAAAACTTACATAGTAATATACTACAAGATTTCTGATGTTTTTTAAGCTAGCATATCAAAATTAAGATTTTTCTAAACCTAACGTTTTTTTAGCATAAGCTTTTACATAAACAATAATAAGTGTAGCAATCACACAACTTTTGTCATATGTCATCTTAATGAAAATGATGAGTTTAACTTGAGTATCATTATTTGATGATCATATAAAGATAATGATTGTTTGACATTATTTTTCAAAATTATGTCCTAGACTTGATTACTGTTTTTATTTTTGTCATCGACTTATGCATTTATGAACTATTCTTGTATGTAGTAATGAGATTTGCTACTTGAATATGTGTATACTTTTATTTATTTTTTACTATATATGTTATTTTATGAAATATATCATTTAGATGTTCAAAATAATACCCGTATTTTTCGTCCGAATTTTTGTAGTAGATAACGTATTATACACGTATACGTATTTATATGTTTTTTAAAAGGGGGAATTTGACTTTGCACCCCACTTTTTGGATGATATTGGACTTTGCACCCCATTTTTAAAAAACTTTGACTTTGCACATCAACACATACCATTTTGTGAAGAAAAAGTTCTAAATGGGTGCAAAGTCAAAGGAAATTTAAGTGGAATGGGGTGCAAAATCAAAGTTTTTTCAAAATGGGGTGCAAAGTCCAATATTACCCAAAAAGTGGGGTACAAAGTCAAATTCCCCCTTTTTAAAAGTCAACGTTTTTTTCAACGAATTTTTGACCGTCTTTTTCATTCATGTTACCGAATAAAACGCGTACGTATTAAACCTCGTTTAATTCCCGTACCGTATTTAACTAACTAGGCTCATAACACAGAGGTGATTCTGGAGGGTGACGAACTTTATCAATGTCTATGAACTCTAAAAGAAGGCATACGGAAACCGCTGACCAAACGAAGCTAATCGAGACACTAACAGAACTCCTCACATTGAGAGAGACAAAACACTCAGGACCACCTATGTCCGGTAAAGAATCGCCATTGAACAAAAGCAACACAGCCAGAAAGGAAGAACAATTCAATTGGATCATACCTCTACCGAGAATCTCTGAGCGTTGATATCACTGGATCACTGTTGACGGAGAAGAGTAAGACCAGAGACAACAAATCCTCCCTCCTTTCCCGTGAAACGATTGGAACAGATTGGAAGATGGCGTCTTTCTACTTCTTGCCACTAGTATTAAATGGGAGTAGTAGTTTTAAAATTGCTAAAATATGACTATTTTGTAATTGGACAAAAATGCACCTCTCACCACATGTCACCACTTGCCACCTACCATGCCCGTCGCCGCCACCACCAGAGCTCTAGCTGGACAAAAAAAAAGTCTAGATTTTTTTAGGATTAGACAGTCTGCCACGGTCACCGGTCACCGCCACCACCAACGGATTGCCCCAGTTTCTCAAGGAAATTAGGGGGCAATTAATTAATTAGATTAGGGTATTAAGGGTATAAAATTAATGTTTAGTTTTACTTGTCAAAGATTTAGGTATGTTAAATGTGTAGGTACAAAGATGACTTTACTTATTTTCACCTTGGGCATATAAATCCCAAGGAAATAAATTTATATGTATGTTAAATGTGTAGGTACAAAGATGACTTTACTTATTTTCACCTCGTCTCCACTCGCCTCAAAGAGTGGGGGACTGGGGGACTGAGGGGTCAGAGTTTCTAGATGAGCAGAAAATATCACGCATGAGCAGGAACGAAAGCTGGGTCAGATGAAGAGGAGTTGAGCTAGACAAAATTGATTATGCCAAAGGGGACTTGCCTTCCTTGTTTCATGTTGGGGGCACTAGGTGTACTCTTTTTCCCTTTATTAGGATTTTTTCCTACTGGGTGTTTTCCTAGTAAAAGTTTTTAATGAGACACCTCCCCATCATGGGCAAGGGTGGTGGTCCCCCGGCCAAAGAGGAAGAAACCAAAGACAGAAGAACGTTGTTGCAGATACAATTGTGGACTACTCCCTTTCGCCTCGAGTACTCTTGGATCAGGGAGTGGGGGACTTTTGATGGAGTATATGGACTCCGACCCCCCGGTCTGCTTACTATTGGGCCTGGACAGCGGTTCACGTACTCCAGCAGACAACATTTATATTACTGTATAGTTTACATATTCATTGTATGTACTAGATTAACTTTTTATACTATCAGTCCATTTATGTAACTAGGTCTGTCCGGCCCATATTAGAGGCCCAGACCCGGATTTCCCTATATATACTCCTTATAGGAGGCTTGTAAACAGAATAAGCAATATTCATTCATTATATACACATTCATCATTTCTTCTCCACTCTTGTTCAATCTCTTTAAAATATACAATATGGGTGTCGATTATCCATCACAAGTATAAAAGTAATTTATGATATATATGGCATATATATCAAATCTACAACTCTATTAGTCTCACATAAATTGTCACTTATCTAAACTAAATATGAAAATTCAACTTGAGTATTATCTAAAAACGACTCATCATTTTCATTTTGTATATAACTGAATTTCGACTCCACCACTTATCACGAGGAACATCTTATAGTTTATTAAAGTTGTCAACAAAGTTGCATTAGTCCATTTAAGTTTATCAAATACTTTCTATAATTTTTCTTTTTTACCTCTATAGATGATTTGATTATATTACAATTAATTAATAATAAAAAGCCTAAATGTGCCACTAATTTCAGTGGGAACCAGAGATAGATTGAAGAGGGCTTTTAGATTAAGGCGACTATTACCACATTAAAATTCAATGAAAATTCATGAGAGCTAGAACTATATTATAGGGACTAGTCAGTTTTACATTAGATGAAGTGAATTATAAATAAATTTAGATATCTTCACATATTCAATGTCATAGTTAAGGGATGTGAACATGTGTCCGGTACATCACAACAAATAAGGGGAAAAGCACTCAACTTTGAATCCATCTTTAAAATTGTGGAAATTTATAAAATTGTATATCATCATCATTATCATTACCCTAGTGCCATAAAGGCTCCCAGCTACAGTGGGGTAAGCGGATCAGATGTACGCAATCTTACCCATGTACTAAAGTACAGAGAAATTGTTTTCGGATGATCCATGATGAAAATCGCGTCGAAAATTGCATTGACTAACTGTTGCTTCATAACAAAGAAGCACAAACAGTTTAACGAGTCATTTTGCTTTATTCCATCATATTTCCAAGACAAAAAATAGTAAATCTTTAGCTCCATTATAAAATTGTATCTAGACCCCAATTTCTCTATGTTAAACCATAGTGTAAAAATATACAAATATACTCCCTCCGAGGGGAAAAGGGATTACAAGAGACATGGAAGGAGAACATTGGGATTATGTGTGATGAGGTGGACCGAAGGGGTGACAAGGATAAAATGAGAAGGGCATACTAGTTTTTTTATACTTTTTTATCTAAAAATGAAAAATAATACACAATACCACATACTACGAGCGCGTTTGGTAGTTCACACACTAAAACTTTACACGTAAAATGACTGCATTTAAGTTTAGGGCAATAATTAGTTTGCATATAAAATAAGAATACATCGTTTGTTTGTCTACGTTTCTTTACATACAAACTCCTTACAATGTAAAATGTTTACACAAGTAATATTGTGTCCTTTCAACAAACCCCCTGCCTGAAGCACATTTTTTTGGCCATTCAACAACAACGCGCATAATTTCCAAACCAAGTTCATCTAGAAAATCTCAAAAGAAGAATCAGGCACCGTGATTTTTCTAGGCGTTATGTATTATTCAAGATTCCAAGAGATGTACAACTTTTAAATAGTCTATTTTATGTATTTCAAACATTATAAAACTTATATTTCACATAATTAACTAGCCTATTTGTTTTTTAGTGTTGACTTTTCTATTTTTTCTTAATTTAGGAGACCTCAATTCTCCTTTTGAAACCAATGTCTTCAAATTCATTAGGCGACCCTGGCAGTGTAAAATGTTTTAAAAAAAAGTTTCTTACAATTTACATCACATAGTTAAAACAAACAGTGTAAAATGTTTACTTCCTCACACTTTGCATGCAAAATGTTTACTTTACATCGTAACAAATGGGCCCGAATATACTACTACTTCTGTTCCATAATAGTTGTCTTGTTTTATTTGAGCACAATTATTAATAAAGTGGTCGAAAAAGTAAAAATTGCGTAAAAGATTTAATTAAAATAAAGT